CAGAAGGATGGATAGTTGGAGTTGAAGGGGATGTGTTGTCTTGGGAGGGATTAGGAGGAAAGGGTGTAGGGGTGTGAGTAAGAGGGGGATGCATATCATCAGGAGGATGGGTATTGGGAGGATGGATATCAGTGGTGGTTGGGATTGAGGGGGTTAGGTTGTGTTGGGAGGGAGTAGGAGGAAGGGGTGTAGGGGGAATATTAGTAGGAGGGTATGAATATCGGCAACCACTTCAAGTGTGGAAGGAGCATGAGTTATGGGATTTTGTGTCTCAAGCATATAGCTTTGAATGTCATCCATTGTTTCTGCAGTGGAGTTTGTTGGAGAGTTTTGTGAGAAGGTAATTGTTTCTGCAATGGAATTGGTTGGAGAGTTTTGTGGAATAAAGGTTTTCTTATGAGGGGGGGAAGAGGAGACTGGTGTCTCAGGAACAAAGGTATAGGTAGGTGGAGGTGATTGTGCTGTAGGGGAAGAAGGGTTAGAACGTTTAGTCTGTCTACTGCGGGTAGTGCGGGGAGGGAGAGGGGTTGGTGTTGGGGCTGTAGTTGAGATAGGAGCTGTGGTTGAGATTGGGGTGTCTGGGTTTAGAGTGGCAAAGGAATTGGTCTGAGGGATGTAGAATGTAGAAGTGGAAATGGGGACATTTTTGGGTGGAGGGGGAAGGGCTGAGCGAACGATGTTGCTAGAATATGGAGTATGAGAGAAACCTTGTCGACGTGCTTCCTGTCTGGCTTCACGTAAAGTGAGACCATTTTTGTATCTGAGAGTTGCTACCTCAGATTCAAATTTGTAAGTGGGACAGCCTCTATAAAATACATTATGGGGGCCGCCGCAGTTAGCACATGTTCGTGTTTGTGCTGAGCAGTTTGATCGATTATGACCAGGTTGGGCACATATGGGGCATCGGTCTGTGGAACGGCAATGTTTGGCAGGATGTCCAAAGCGCCAACAGTTTTGACATTGACGTGGAGGGGGTTGGTATGGTCGAACAGGGAGGGATTGTCCACCAATGTAGATACGTAAGGGAAGGTCATGTGTACAGAAGGTAATTTTGGCAATATTGGTTGGATTCTTTCGTTGACCTTTAGGAGGAATGGTGTAGCAATGTACTGATTTCACATCTTGGTCTTTGAGGCATCCTAATAAGTCTTCTCCACAGTCTGACCAATCTTTGGTATCGACTGGGCAGTTTGCTGGGGAGAGAGAGACAGTTCCGGTACAGGTATTAAGGGTTGGATGAGGTTCTGCAGGAATGGGGTTGCCAGAATGATCAGTTAAATTTGACAGTGCTATAGATTCAGTTTCTGATCTGACTGTTACCAGACGGGAGCGATCGCGTCTGGTATAGAAAGGGACTCTACCTACTTGTTTTTGGAGGCATTGTTGAAAGAGAAGAGTGTTGCCTGAGTAAGGAGCTGTAGCAGGGATCACGAAAAATCGGTCCCATTTAGCTGGGCTAAACAGAGTATTTAAGATATCTGTAGGGTTGGTGGTGGGGATAGTCGGGGACGTGTGGAAGAGGGAGTATTACGGAATGATGGAGAATAAGGTTGCAAGGTAGTAATAAGGGAGGATTGGTTGTTTGATGAAGGTTGCAGGGGTGGAGTTGAATTTGAGGAAGTTGGGTGGGTAGGAATGTCTTCTGGAGATTGATTCTCTGCTTGGGTGGGTAATGCACTAGTAGGCATTGAGGAGTGGGCAGTAGTTTCAGTGTTCGGAGCCGTGGTCAAAGGAGAGCCTGGGTTGGGGCTATTTGATAAAGGGGCTAGCCTCATAGCCTCTAATAAAGGGATTACATTCTCATTACTGGTCATGGGGAACCTGGATTATGTAAATAGGCCTATTCGGTCCACCTCCTTTCGCTACTGAAGGTAAGGGCTAGATTAGTCAGGAGTACCGTGCCCATAGTTCCCGCAGGCCGTTCAGGACTGGCACTAGGTCAGCCTTTCATCCTCTCAGCACGGCTCTCACACCTTAGGAAGTAGATAGCAGAAGGGGATGGAGAAGAGACGGAAACAAAAGCTGGAGAAAAAAAAAGACCATGCAAAATTAGTTGAGTCGAGGGCTGAGGCCCTAGGCAAGGGAGATCCCTGCACTGGGTCTCAGTCTCCGTCTCCTAAGCCCCCCCACCCCACGACAACAACGGGCAAGGGATTGGGGGGGGGGGTAAAGACAACAAAGTCAATGAGATGGGAAGGGGAGAAGTAGACTGAAATCACTGTGGTCCAATGGCGAAGAAAGATGCGAATAACTGCACAGGATAGTGGTTTGTGAGGTTTGACATAAGGTGTTTTATGATGGATAAGTATAAGCGACACATAAAGGGAGTGTGGGGAAGAGATAAAATGGTAATTGAGAATTGGAGTAGGAGGGTGTGTGAGGAAAGTCTCTTGGAGGCAGATAATGGATGGATTATAAGAAGCAAGGATATGGCGAAGGTCTGGTCTGTGAGAACGGAAACTGCGAATAGCAGGGGTATCAGGAGGTGGAGGATCTGGGGAAGGGAATTGTTGTAACATGAATGATTCACGTGTGTATACAGGATGGAGTGGAAAGGATAGAGGGGATGGAGGGAGGTTTAATGTAAGTGCTGTTGGAGCCGAGGGAGATGGATTGTGTTGGGAGGGAGTAGGAGGAAGTGGTGTAGGGGGAATATTAGTAGTAGGAGGATGGATATCGGAAGGATGGATAGTTGGAGTTGAAGGGGATGGGTTGTGTTGGAAGGGGTGTAGGGGGAATATGAGTAAGAGGGTGGATATCAGGGGGATGGATATCGGTGAGGGGGTTAGGTTGTGTTGCGAGGAAGTAGGAGGAAGGGGTGTAGGGGGAATATGAGTAGGAGGGGTATGGGTATCGGCAATCACTTCGAGTGTGGAGGGAGTATCAGTTGTGGAATTTTGTGTCTCAAGCATATAGCTTTGAATATCTTCCATAGTTTCTGCAGTTGAGTTGGTTGGAGACTTTTGTGAGACAAAGGTTTTCTTGTGAGGGGGGAAAGAAACTGGTCTCTGAGGAATAAAGGCAAAGGTAGGTGGAAGTGAGTCTGCGGTTGGGGAAGGGGTGGAACGTTTAGTCTGTCTACTGCGGGTAGTGCGGAGAGGGAGGGGACGGTGTTGGGGCTGTAGTTGAGATTGGAATTGTAGTTGAGATTGCAGTGTTTGGGTTTAGAGTGACAAAAGGATTTGACTGTGGGAGGTAGAATGTAGAAGTGGAAGTGGGAAAATAAGTAGGTATAAGGGACGGTGTAGGAACACCTTGAAGTGGAGGGGGAGGGGCAGAGCGAGCGACATTACTAGAGTAGGGAGTATAAAAACCCTGTTGGCGTGCTTCTTGTCTGGCTTCACGTAGAGTGAGACCATTTTTATATCTGAGTGCTGCTACCTCAGACTCGAACTTGTAAGTGGGGCAGCCTCTCTAAAAATACACCGTAGTTAACACATGTGCGTGTTTGTGCAGGGCAGTTTGATCGGTTATGGCTAGGTTGGGCACATATGGAGCAGCAGTGTTTGGTCGGATGTCCAAAGCGCCAACATTTTGGACATGACGCGGAGGTTGGTATGGTCGAACAGGGAGGGATTGTCCACCAATGTATATATGAAAGGGAAGGTCATGTGTACCGAAAGTAATTTTGACAATGTTGGTGGGTTTCTTTCGAGGACCTCTAGGAGAAATGTAGCACTGTACTGATATCACACCGCGGTCTTTGAGGCAGCCGAGTAAGTTCTCTCCACAATCTGACCAATTGATATCCATAGGACAGCTTGCTGGGGAGATAGAAACAGTTCCAGTACAAGTATCAGAATTGGATGAGGTTCTGCAGGAATGGGATTGCCAAAGAAATCAAATTTGATACTACTATAGCTTCAGTTTCAGATGTAACTGTAACGAGATCGGAACGATCGAGTCGGGTACGGAAGGGGACTGCCCACTTGCTATTGGAAACATTGTTGAAAGAGAAGGGTGTTGCCGAGTAAGGAGCTGTAGGGGGGGGGGGTCACGAAAAATCGGTTCCATTTACCTGGGCTAAATAAAAGTATTTAAAATATTGGTAGAGTTGTGAGTGGTAGACGGATGGGGACGTGGGGGAGAGGGAGTATTGTTCAGGAGGGTAGTATTACTGAGATGGAGAATAAGGTTATAAGGTAATCATAAGGGAAGAGGTCGTGATTGGTGAAGGCTGTGGGGTTAGAGTTGATGAAGTTGAATTAGTTAGGAGAGGAGTCGACCTGGGTGGATAATGCACCAGTAGGCATTGAGGAGTGGGTAGTAGTTGTAGTGTTTAGTCGTGGTCAAAGGAGAGCCTGGGGTTGAGGAGCCGGGAGAGTTTTAATCGGTGGGGCTATTTGATGACGGGACAAGCCTCATTGCCTCTAATATGGGTATTACTTCATTACTGGCCATGAGAAGCCTTGACTGTTGGGGAAAAACTCTACCCCTTACCCCTCAAGGGGACCCTGAGAGGTGAACAACAAAACAGGAGAATAATGTGCCCATGGTTCCCTCAGACCGTTCAGGATTAGCACAAAGTCGGCCTTTCATCCCTTCAGCACAGCTCTTACAACCTTAGGAAGTAGATAGTATAAGGGGTTGGAGAAGGAATGGAAACTAAAGAGCTGGAGGGAGAAAAGACCATGCAAAATTAGTGGAGTCGAGGGCTTAGGCCCTAGGCAGGGGAGATCCTTGCATTAGGTCCAAGTCTGTCTCCTATCCCCCCCCCCCCGACAACAACGGGCAAGGGATTGGGGGGGGGGGGCAATCTTCCTAAGTTTTATTTATAATTTCTTTCTGAAGACTCAGAATACAAAATTTCAAAAAGTTATATATTTAAAAGACAATTTCAATGAATTTCCAAATCTAGAAATTTCAAATGCTATTTCCATGATTCTTCACAATCCTCCAAGACGCATACAAACCCTGTAAAAAAGAAAATTGCCACGTCCTTGTAATACCATGTATCGGCAATATTTGTGAACCCTTCATGGATAAATAAGGCCAAAGACTAAATTTGCATACTTTATTGAGCATAATCTACATCATACAAAACATCAATTTTGCAGGAAGTTGAAAATGCAGCATTCTGTGGGAATGTACAGCTGGTGGCTATTTAATCAGTTTCTGCTACACACCAATCCTTAAAGGGAAAAAAGGTTTTGATTAGAAAAGAATAGCATAAAAAGAAATAAAAGATGAAGTGATTTTTCAGATACTCGTTATAATCACAAGAGAAAAAAGCCATTGGAAGTATACACTCACTGTGCAAAACGCACAGTAAATTATCAACCGCCAAGACATGTTACCCTTCAGATGACACGCATGAGTAAAGGACATCATTCAATTTGGTCATGAGTACAGCCATATTCTGGGACATACTTGACCTAACACCATTCCAGTCCCCCTATGCTAAATTACTTTTCCACAGCCAAACTGCATGGCTCTCATATTAGGTTTATAATCACAGATTTCTTCTATGATCCATATACATTGGAAATATAGATATTTGAAGTTAATCTAAACATTATCTTTCAGTGATGGTTTTAAATTTCTATCTTTGTTGTACACAAACATGTAAAAGTATTGGAACAATTCAGATCATGTGTTTCTTCTCAGCAAAATTAGCATTTAGTGACAAAGGTGTCCAAAAATAAGTGTCAAATATTGATAACATTAGTAGAAAAAGCATTTTCCTGCTTTTTCAAGGAAAAGTGACAGTGGAAGATCTACTAATTGACTAATTTGTGGCTAAGCATTGGCAAAGCCATCTATGTGCAGAAACATTTAACCAAGCTTTGCCAAAGGGAATGCACTATTTTCCTGTCAACATTGGGTTAATATAAAACATTTACATAGAAAAAGAAGAAGAAGAAAAAAAAAGTATAAGCCACCCCCCTCCTGATCATTATAAATTCTATGCTTTGCAATATGAAATTCAACAATTCCCTTAAACAGAATTATACACTTCAACTGCAGATACTCTTTATAAACTCCTGCTACTAGTTTGCTAATCTTGAATCTTACATATAAATTTTTGGGGAGAATTGGATCCAAGTTATCTTTCTTACAAGCATCAACCAGTCTGCATTTCCATGTCAAATTAGATTCATTAATCCATAACTTATTTGTTTGGTTCGAATATGCACTATTTAAATTTGATATTGAAACAAAAGATCATTTACCAAATTTTATATTCATCCTACTTTTCATTTCCATTTTCATGGAAGAATTTTTGTTAGCCTTTGAAACCATTTTCATATTTAAAGAGGTCAGCAGCAGTAGCAAAAGAATTATATATTTTTTTTCGATGCAAATTACGATCAAACTGGACAAGCTGTTATAAGTATCCGCTTTCCAGAATGAGAGCAACATGTGTTGCTAATTTTTAATTATGCATCAAAATCACGACTTAAAATGCTGAGGACTGTAATAATCACCTAAGAGAAAACATTCACTTTCTATAAGTCACTACAAAATATATTCTCTCAGAATTATTCATCACCCCCACACAAACATAAGGAATAAGCAGGTAATTAGCTTCATGGATTGATCAGCTGGCATTTCCATGTACATATGGATGTCACACAATGCCGACTGACTAATCCTCTCTAAGCTGTATGCACTCGTGGCATGTAATTTCCTTCCTGTGAGTCTTCACAAGTTCTCATAACTACATACTCCTGTCATCCTGGCCCTCAGCCGATTGATTATTTTTATGATGGTATATTTTTTGTTTGATACTTTATTCCATAAAAAACTACTGTTGAGATTTATTTATTAATATTTATTTGCTGACCATTTATCCACAAAATGTGTATCTTAGGTTGTTAGCACATACTTATCTTCAAGTACCAATTAGCTGGCTTTTCATATTAAATCTAGTTCATAATCTGAATAAATATGGGAACAGCAATACCTATCTGGTTTCTTCCTTTATTACAACTATCCATGTATCTCCTCCTACCAGTAATGAACTTTAATATACAAAACTGTACAAAACAAGAAAAGAAGCATCAATGAAGACTTGTTGCCTGTCAAAAGATACACACTAGTAATGAACATAATTAGGTTCCAAGTTAAACATTACCTGAAAATCATCTCTTGTGCATCTCAAATGTAGATTTTGCTTTACCTTAATTGAAATGCGACCACTGAGTTCATTGAAGAGAAAAGGAACCACATCCTGAAAAACAATCTCAAATTTATTTCCGCCGACTCTCACTCTCATTAAGAAATATAATCAAAAGTATCAGTAGGCAATTAGCTTCAAGTGTCGATCAGCCGGCATTTCCTATCACTTTTGGATCATCACAGTAAATATATAAATTTGAACAATCACACACACATCTCACCATTTTACTTTAAGCTGGTTTCTCTTACTGGTTTTTCATTCTTCTAATGCTTATTCATTAAGCGATCTGAAAAGAGAAATATTATTTTTCTCTTCTTTGTTTTGGAGAGAGATGGTTTTCCATATAAACAATCAGTGGCAATCTAGCTTCATATATCGGTCAGCCGGCATTTCCTATCAAATTTGGTTCATCACAATATTAATGAGAAAATGTACTTTAGTACTACCTATAAGTTTAATTAAAGAAATTATAGAAGGTGATAGCCAGTTCTATCTTAATTTAGCATAAATGTATGCTTGGTAATACTCATCAAAACAAGAATTTAATCTGATGCATAGTTTCGGTGTAGTTTGGAGTGCATTCAGCCACTGAACCAAAATAAAGTCCCATAAAAATGCAGGTAGCCTTGATAAAAGCAAGTAACCAGCCAGTACTTTGCCTGATGTAGGACTGATAAAACTTTCTCAAATCTGAATAATCAGACATTTTGATTTAAAACTAAAGAGAAATGGAGTACAAGAGGCTTAAGTGTAGCAGAGCAATTTAGATTGGCATCCCATCATAAACATCAACATTTAATTAAAAGCAGATGGAAGGAAAAATTAGGGAAAAAAAGTGGCTTGAGATGGGCAATATGCACAGTATTTCTGAGGTCATCAAGGAATCCCATGCTCTCCTCAAAACTCAACTTAGTTGTGTAACTGCAATATTTCTGGGATGAATGCTGTTAAACCTTTATTTCAATTATTCAACAATTCATGAAGTGATAAAGAGCAAGTGTTAGCAAGAAATACAAATGTTACTTGGCACTGGCCATCACCTTCAGATGACTTTCTTTAGAACATTATGCTAAAAATGTATGATAAAAACTTGAATCTAGCTATGACGAAGACAGGTTTACTAACCTTTCATTAGTCATTCTCCAAATTCTTACAGAATATATCCAGCCTGTAAAGAAATTCAACACATTAAAAGAAGGTTTCCAATAAAGCTAAGTGCAAGATATAGGGAGCTTTCAGATGCACATTACAATCAATAGGTACAACAGTCATTGGAAATGTCCACTCTCACTGCACAGAACGCACAGGAGAGGAACAACAACCAAGAACTGTTGACCGTCAGATGACGCGCATGTGCAAATGGCATCATGGTAGTACCAAAGGTAAGCAGGTGCTTCATATCTTAGCAAGTGTGTGTTACATAATATAGCAGATTTTGTTCTTACCTTAACTGATATGATGTTCTTAAGGTTCATTGAAGAGAAAATGCACCATCTGAAAAGCAATATCAATATTCTTATTTCTTGTCTCACTCACTCTCAAATAAGAAACAATTAAAAGTATCAGTAGGCAATTAGCTTCAAGTGTCGATCAGCCGGCATTTCCTATCACTTAAGGATCATCACATTCAATATATTCACTTATATAATCACATAAATCTTACCATTTCACTTTAAGCTGGTTTCATCGTCTCTGATTCTTCATTCTTCTGTGTATTCACTTTGGGACCTGAAATGAGAAATAGAAGATTTTTCTTTTTTCTTTGTTTCGTAGGGAGATGGTTTTCCATATAAGCAATCAGTGGCAATCTAGCTTCATATATCGGTCAGCCGGCATTTCCTATCAAATTTGGTTCATCACAATACTAATGAGTAAATATTCTAGAGTAATATCAATACACTTTCTTTCAAAAAGTGATGGCCAGATCTACCTCTATTTACCATAAATATGCATAGTAATGCTAATCAAAATAAGAATTCAATCTGATCTGTAGTTTTGACATCACAGCTATCCACTAAGCCAGTGCATTTACAATATTTCTGGGATGGTTGCTGTCAAAACTATCTCCTTCAATTTCAATTGTTCATTAATTCATCACTTCATAAAGGGTTTCTCACCACTGGCCATTACTTTCAAAAGATTTTCTTTAAAAAATACTAAAATCGTCATTCAATCTAGGTCTAGTTAAAAAAATAAAAAAAAGGGTTTACTAACCTTTCATTGGTAATTTTTTCCAATTTCTTATAAAGAATCAATCAAGTCTGTAAAGAAATTTAATGTACATTAAAAGAAGTTTTCCAATAAAAGGTAAGTACAAGATATTGAGAGCTTTCAGATGCACATTACAATCAATAGGTACAACAGTCATTGGAAGTGTCCACTCTCACTGCACAGAACGCACAGGAGAGGAACAACCACCAAGACTTGTTGCCTGTCAGATGACGCGCATGTGCAAATGGCATCATGGAAGTTTCAAAGGTATACAGGAGCTGGAAATTTGAAATTTTGTGCATTTCAAAATATTACAGAATTTGTTCTTACCTTAAATGCCATGACGTTCATAAGGTTCATTGTAGAGAAAACGTACCATCTCCTGAGAAGGAATATTAACACTTAATTTCCTGATTCACTTTTTCATAACAAGAAATATGATCAAAAGTATCAGTAGGCATTTAGCTTCAAGTGTCGATCAGCCGGCATTTCCTATCACTTAAGGATCATCACATTCAATATAATCACATAAATCTTACCATTTCACATTAAGCTGGTTTCATCGTCTCTGATTCTTCATTCTTCTGTGTATTCATTTTGGGACCTGAAATGAGAAATAGAAGATTTTTCTTTTTTCTTTGTTTCGTAGGGAGATGGTTTTCCATATAAGCAATCAGTGGCAATCTAGCTTCATATATCGGTCAGCCGGCATTTCCTATCAAATTTGGTTCATCACAATATTAATGAGTAAATGCTGGAGTATTACCTACACACTTTCTTAAAGAAATTTTGAAGGTCATGGCCAGTTCTACCTTTTAGCATAAATGTGTGCTTAGTAATATTCGTAAAAATATAAAATTAATCTGATGTGTAAAAAATTTCCATAAAAATGCAGGTACCTTTGATAAAAGCAAATGACAGGGCAGTGCTTTGGCTGATGCAGGACTAACTAGGTTTAAGAAAGTTTACCAATTATTTAGACGTTTTGATTCAAAACTGAAGAGATTGAGTACATGAGGTTGAGGTGCAATAGAGTAAGTTCAGAATGGCATCCTATCATAGTCAACATGTAATTAAGAGCAAATGTAAAAATAAATGTGTTGAAGTGTTGGCCATTTAATTTAAATCAAGTTTTTAATAAAGAAAAGGTTTACTAACCTTTAATTTGTCATTCTCCAAATTCTTACATAGAATCTATTCAGCCTGTAAAGAATATTAACACATTAAAAGAAGGTTTCCAATAAAGGTAAGAGCAAGATATTGAGAGCTTTCAGATGCACATTACAATCAATAGTACAACAGTCATTGGAAGTGTCCATTCTCACTGCACAGAACGCACAGGAGAGGAACAACCACCAAGACTTGCTGCCTGTCAGATGACGCGCATGTGCAAATGGCATCATGGATATCTTAGCAATTGTGTGTTACATAAAATAGCAGATTTTGTTCTTACCTTAACTGATATGATGTTCTTGAGGTTCAATTGAAGAGAAAATACACCATCTGAAAAGCAACATTAATATTCTTATTTCTTGTCTCACTCACTCTCAATAAGAAACATAATTAAAAGTATCAGTAGTCAATTAGCTTCAAATGTCGATCAGCCGGCATTTCCTATCACTTAAGGATCATCACATTCAATATATTCACTTATATAATCACATAAATCTTACCATTTCACTTTAAGCTGGTTTCATCGTCTCTGATTCTTCATTCTTCTGTGTATTCATTTTGGGACCTGAAATGAGAAATAGAAGATTTTTCTTTTTTCTTTGTTTTGTATGGAGATGGTTTTCCATATAAGCAATCAGTGGCAATCTAGCTTCATATATCGGTCAGCCGGCATTTCCTATCAAATTTGGTTCATCACAATATAAATGAGTAAATGTACTAGAGTACTACTAATACTCTTAAAGAAATTTTAAAAAGGTAATGGCCACTTCTGACTTTACTTGGCATTAATATATGCATGGTAATGCTTATCAAAATGTGATTAATCTGACAGTTTTTACAGAAATTACCCTTAAAGTGCGGCCAGCCACTAAACTAAATTAGAAACCCACAAAAGTGCAGATAGCCTTGATAAAAGCAAGTGACAGGCCAATGGTGTCTGATGCTGGATGGACAATCAGATGCGTTTTGATAATTCAGATATAATTTTAATTCACAGCAGGAGATACATGGAGCAAAAGAGGTTGAGGTACAGCAGAGCAAGTTCTGAATGAAATCCGATCACAGCGAGACATTTAGATGTTACTGATGCCTATGGCTACACCACTCAAAAAAGGAAGGAGCAAACAAGCATTTAAAAAAATAATAAAAAATTGGGGTAAATGGAGTTTGAGGGAAAAAAAAAAAAGAGAGGGGGGGGGGGTCATATGGGCCTGTGTAATGATATCCATGCATTTCCCCAAATCTCAATTTTGTTAACTAGCTACAATATTTCTGGGATGGAAGCTGTCAAAACAACTATTGCCTGCATTTCAAAGATCAATTAAATTCATCATGTGATACTAAAGAATAAGACCTAGAAAAAAAAGTTTCTAAAGATGTGGCCATCACCTTCAGGTGACTTTCTTCAAAACATTATGCTAAAATGTTGGCTCATTCAATCTAGATCTGGTCATTGGTATGAAGGGTTTACTAACCTTTCATTAGTCGTCCTCCAAAGTCTTACAGAATATATCCAGCCTGTAAAGAAAATTAACAATCATTAAAAGAAGGTTTCCAATAAAGGCAAGAGCAAGATATTGAGAGCTTTCAGATGCACATTACAATCAATAGGTACAACAGTAATTGGAAGTGTCCACTCTCACTGCACAGAACGCACAGGAGAGGAACAAAAACCAAGACTTGTTGCCTGTCAGATGACGCGCATGTGCAAATGGCATCACAGTAGTTAGGTTTCAAAAGTAAGCAATACCTGGAAATTCTGAACATTATCGCAGTTGTGTCAAATTGTAATATATCAATTTTGTTCTTACCTTAAATGAAATGATGTTCATAAAGTTCATTGTAGAGCAATTGCAGCATCTTCTGAAAAAGAATATCAATTATATTTTCTGACTCACACCCTGAATAAGAAATATAGTCAAGAGTATCAGTAGGCAATTAGCTTCATGTGTCGATCAGCCGGCATTTCCTATCAAATTTGGTTCATCACAAAATTAATCAATGTATTATAGTAGTATTTACATGCTTAAAAGTAATTCTTAAAGGTAATGGTCTGTTCAAATCACAATTTAGCCTAGATTCATGCTTGTTAACAAATCAATTATATCTGATGTGTAGTCTTGACAGAAATAATCCTTGAAGTATAGCCAGCCTCAATAAAATGCAACTGGCCAATTCAGATATTTTGTCAATCAGAAATACCTTATTTCCTCAGCTCTGCTTGCTTTTTCACAATTTAATTTCACATACAAAGATGTATAGAGAGGTTAAAGTGTAGAAAAACAAGTTTAAAGTAGATTTCTATCAAATTTGAACGTACAAGGCTACTTTTACAAGCTGATGAAGGGCATTAACAAGTCTCTCACTTTGCCCATAACTCAAATTGGTTACGCCATAGCAATACTTGAGGGGTGGATGTTTATTAATTGATAATGACACCAGAGCAGGTCTATATATATGTAAAAAAAAAAAGTTTCTCAGCTCTTGTCAACACCTTTAGATTAGTTTCAAGCAAAAATGTAAACTTCCTTCGATCTAGTACTTGTTTCAACATAAAGAGGGTTTACTAACCTTACATTGGCTATCTTCTCTAGCTCTTAGATAAAATCCATTCATCCTGTAAAGAAATTTAACATTAGTTACGAATTAAATTAACATAGTGTTCTCTTGTATATATATCATGGTTTAGCAAGTTCCATCATCCAGCCTTACATTATCTGAGCCAATCAATGAAACAGTAATTATAGAGCAATATGGTACATTTCTTCCACCTCTTCCCTACCTACACACTATACTATTGCATATCAAAGTGATCACCTTGAATATCTATATTTACACTTGATACCTTAAATATCCATAAGAACAAATCTAATTTTTAAATAATAAATAATGATTGTTTTACTTGTACGTATGTACGTACGTGCGTGTGTATGTGTGTGTAAAACTATACTATTAAAATATACACAAGATCTATACAAATTTGTTCCATACAACAAAAACTCAAACCATACTTACAGAAGTAGCGCACCATGGGATCTGTTCAAGTATTTTGGATAATAAAAGACAAAAACCTTTTCTTTCTTTATTCAGTCAAAATCTACTTTGCAGCCTTGACTGTCTTTGCAGGCTTGGCCTTGTTTCTGGCTGCCCTGGGACCTCTGGTTTTCCTGGGTTTCCATGTCTTGGGCTTCTTCTCCTTAAGTTCCTTCTTCTTTGCCAATTTCTGTCCCCGGAGCTTCCTGGCTGCCTTTACTGTTGGTCGCTTGGCAATCAGGATGTTCCTCTTCAAACGCAGATATGCAGACTTGACAATCTTGTTCCTAGCTTGCTTTGCACGGCCAAGCTTGAACCTATCGAAGTCTGTCATACTGGAACGCTGCAAGAGACTTTAGTGTCACACACAAACTTAATGTCTATATCTATCATGACCTTTAACAATTACATTACAGTAAAAGAGAATGAAAATGTATGCCTTCTAATATAGAAATTTGCAAGGACACTCACGAGCAGTCCTTTGTTGATGTTCTTATTCCAGGTAGAGGCTTCAAATTTCTCACTGATCTTGGCTTCTTCCCAGGCTGCCCTGATCAACTTTGTCCTCATACCACGACAAATTTTCAACTGGAAAGAATCATTTGTTGAATATCAACCATCAAAACATAAAACAGGGATTATATAATACAATGTACATACATTATATAAATAAATATACATTTTCTTTACCTAAAGTATATGTTACAATAATATTGCACTTACCACATAGGTTGTCAGTCTCATCTCGCAGAACTTGAACTGCTGCCGTGGGACTCCATGGCAAGGTCCGTCAATGAGGGCCTTTTGGGGAAGAGGGAAATAAATTAAGTCTTTCAATATCATAATAAGTCACATTAAAATGTCTCTAGATGTCTCCTGTACTACTCATGCATTTAGTGTTTAGTCATTTGATACACCACTGGTATGTCATTCAAGTTTTGCTATTATGGTTGTTTACATATTTTAATGACAAACTAAACCGATTACAGTGCAATTTATTTTTCAAGTTTGCTACACCACCTCCTCAGGTGTATTAACCCTATGCTCCAAAGGGAATATGTGCTCCCTTTAGTATTGTTTTGGTATAGGTGTCTGCACACAGATGGCTCTGTCACTGCTTAGCTACCAATGAGTTAATTAGTAAATCTTGTGACATTACCTTTTTCGATTTAGCGGGAATGTTTTTTCTACTAATATTATAAATACTGATACTGTTATTCATAATACAAACATTAAAATTACTATATTGTTATTGAGATCACTAAAAGCAGTATTAAATACTAGAAAATATAAAAAATTAAGGAAAAGGGTGAACATGAGAGACGGGTACTTCTTGTAATTGGCTCATTGGCGCCTTAGTACTTAGTACTTAGTACTTAGTGTAATAATTTCTAAAATAAACATACAGTGGGCATGACATGTACACACAGGCCTGGTAAAAGATACAGATCACTACTGTATGATAAAAGTTCAATTCTTTAAAATTGCATAATTAGCATTTTAAAAAGATATGGATAATTTTACAGAGTATCTTTAGATAACTCATTGCAACAATTTTAGCATAAATGGACCCATCGGTCTTCCATCCAAATATATCAAGATTATGCCAAAGATCCCCCCCCCCAATTGCCAACACTCTTGGCCTAAAAACAGGGGAGGGCATGAAAGGTACCAGGGATATTACGGGATAGACTGAGTAATGCTGTGTCACCTGTGACCCCCCCTCCTGGGAGGCTTCTGTCCTTACCCATCACAATGGAAGAAAGAATCCTCCACATACACAACATGGTAGAAAGTACGAATGACATGGAAGCACCCAATGTCGAGGCTGTGTGACACTTTCTCCTACCATGAATACATGGAGGATTCTTTATTTTCCTGGGCAGGGGTTGTGGGAGTTGCGAGATGGAAAGACCCCCCCCCCCGCATTAAGACAATATTATGATTGATTCTGTATATCATTAATATTTTAAGTACAATTTCCCCTGGGACCTTTCACGCTCATGCTTTCATCTGATACAATAATGTAGGGGTTTGTGTGGGTTATGCAACATGATTCCTACATGTGCACTAGAGGATGGGAGGAATCTATTGAAACCAAAATCTTTGCAACTGGTTATACTAAAGTATTCAGTAAAATTATAAAGATTTGTCTATTTTACCACATTCATATTTTCTTGAGCTCAAGTTAGTGATTTGCCCCTTGTGTTAGAATTCCTTTTTTCATATACTGAGTTTTATTATATTGTCACTAGCTTTATAAGTATTCTATCCATCAAACTTTTCTATGACAAATTATACAAAGCAGTTGTACATCTTATAGACCACTATTTGCTTCATTGCTCTAATGCATCATTTTTTATATTCAGAGAACCAAAAGAGGTACTAACTTTCTTAAAAAAAAAAAAGAATACTACTTACCCTGTTGGTGTCAATGATGTCAACAATGACAGCAAGCTTGCCCTTGTACTGCCCTTCATTGATGTAGATCACACGCCCAATCTGGGCGAACTTTTTGAACGGCTGAAAAGACAAATTACTAAGTAAATTTGTGTTGGGTTTCATATTTGACCAAACTTAGGATTATTAACATATACCTTACTTAACTGAAGACTTGTTAACAAATTTCATGAGGTTCATGGTACCCTCTCTTTGCCACAACACTCAAGTTTAGAGTTCCCAAAGCCCAGATCTGGGTCAAGCACCTAAAAAATCATGCAATTAAGTTTATCTAGAACTATTGTAGAGTCCGGTAAATGTCTACCAGAGGTCTGAACCCATCAGAGACCAAGTCCTTAACTCTGCAAATCAATAAATGAATAAACCCTGTTTGACTGGCACACTGCCATATGAAGCTGAAAACCTTCCTAATTAACTGATCATCTCATAGCTGGTGCAGTCTCTCAATACGTTAACCTGTTCCTGTATCATTACTGGTATTCAAAGGGGTGCTCCATAGGACAGGGTATTTTTTAAGTTTATTATTGTTTTTTTGTTTGTTTTATATATACATCCCACTTTGCAATTATCATTTCTTGTTTTGATTATTCTCGATGCCATATGCTCAACTAATTTCCCATAACAAGTGATACAAGTAGAAGTAGGTGCAATTATGTATAAAATGACTACACCCTCAAGCATTACAAAAGAGTGCCCTTAGATGATTCATGTCATAATAAACATGTATACCCAAATACATTTCATATGTATATATTACATAGTTGTAGATCAAACAAATTGGGTTATCATTTACAAAGTGACTGTGCACCTCTAATAGAAAGTCTCAAGTCCTTTATTTCATCGACACTCACTAGAGACTAATGGCAAGTTTGTTAAAATTGAGGGTTGGGTCTCGCACAAAAAATCAATTATACTGACATGCATATACAGAGAAATAAAAGCATGCCTGTCAGTCAAGCCATGCCTATCTACTAGAAAGACCGATAGATAAATGTATATGTATTGGACAAATAGACATATGCATTTATTCGTGTACATGCATGTCTGTATACGAGAATATTCAAGCCTTGCATAGTCTTAATGAACTGGCTGAATGTCCCCAACAAGTCCCAAAACTAACAATTTAGGTGGCTGTGACTGGGCATGCCATTTGAGCACTGGCTAATGTTAGGGTTGATAGAGGACTCTGTTCCCAACACCCCCACGGCAAACAGTGTCTTCACCTCAGTAAATCAGAGCTGAAACTCTGGAGCACAATGAGCACAATGGAAATTAAGAGATGAGCAGCACTTTTCACAATTCTCTTTAAATTTGTGGCATAATCATGAATGTCCACAGATTATTTCATGAACCAACAACAGCAAGTTTTGTCCACACAAAAAAAATCAACCTGCCTCATCTTTGTTTGGCCATACTATAGACCAATTATTCCTTTATACTCCTGTGAAACCCCTTCCTACCTCTTATTTATTCCCTAGACAAGGGAGGGAAGGCCCCCCCTATAACCCCTTTATTAGCACTTCATGCCAACTTGTATAAAATCATACAATATCTATCAACAACACATTGCTCCTGTTGTCTTACGTCTATATACATGGGAAATGTTATAGATAGAATGTATATCACGGCATTCAAATAACCCAAATTACCGACTGAAAACTTATCAGTAAACACTGGGTCTTATCATTAAGGAAAATGAAGCAACATTAGACATTCAATAAATTAAAGTACAACATTACCATTACTGGTACTCCTCTTTCATATCTAATGATATAACCAACTACTTTTCATTACCCAATTCACAATTATACAGCCCAAGTAGGGTAACTTGACAACATAGAACAAATATTAATTTCAATCTCTTACACCGAGATTTCATTGCAAGTAGTCTCCCAACATAAGATTGCGATATTTGAAAAAAATAGCGCTGGTTCTGCAAATACCTTCTCTTATTACTTCTGGTGATATGGCCTACGAATATGAACTTATTTACGGTAGAATATTTTGGACCACTCTTGGGATATCCCACCCTGTCAAATATGTCCTTATCTACTATTAGATTCGTATTTTTGTGAGGTAACTATTAAATATATATTCCAAAACGCATACCACATTCCGCTTTCCTTGTCAACGCGATGCATTCTAGTAATTTAAAGGTTAAGTGTACATTCAGCAAGCAAAACTTTTATAAACATTGAACTTGCACATTGAGTATAGTGTTTTCCAATCGTGATTCACTTTAGCCCAATTATCTTCATACATGTCCCGAATTACCCTCTAAATATCCACTAAAGAAACAACCAAGTGCATCTATTACAGATATTTCATCTTAAAAATATCAAGAAACGTGAGATGACATCAAAATTCAACGATATATAGTGAACGCTTTTTCTTACCATGGTCGCGCTCTTTCGCCGACTTCGTGAAGACCTCTGCACGTCGTCGGATAGAAGAAGTCGAATGTAAACACCAATTTTGACGAACATATGAATATATCAACATTTGAATAAAAACTATATTTTTTCATAATTGTATTTATTAGAAATAAATAATGGCATATAAATTTTGTATTTTGACATAAATTATAGTTGTTATTTATTTTCCGTATTTGATGCCTTTTGCGTCGGCGGCCATAACGTTCTTTCTCGTCTTTCGCCAAACGCGACCAACCATGGGCAAGGAGGTGCTGCACATTATATCTTATAGTATTATTTCCATCGAAGTGAAAATACATGATATATTGTGATATTTAGATTTGTGATGATATTGGCATGGTGACTGAGATAATTTGTGATCTCCTTTGTGAAAGTTTTTGGAGATACAGTTGTCAGGATATAGATGATGGTAAATGTAAACAAAAGTGCGGTGTTCAATGTGATCACAATAAGTTTTCTGGAAAACTTTACTTATCTCTCTTTCTTTGCAGTCGGAACCTAAGGCGACAGTTCGCACCAGGAAGTTCATGACCAATCGGCTCTTGAACAGAAAACAAATGGTGAGTAGATGACTAATTTGAGAACATTAGTTATTTAAGTGCTTAAAATCCACCTAATTTTAAAAATTCTTATTGGCATGAAAAATACTTTTGGAATATCTATATGGGTCACTATAAAGCTTGCTTCAATTGGAAGTGTCTTTAAAAATTGTCGGCATTGTTAAATCAACCTTAGCAATTTTTGGTGTATTGGAATCTATTTTCTTCATTATTGATATTAGATATTATTCTGCAAGTATGATTATAGATATCCATGGTGTGTTATCACTCTCTCAGCTACCTTTGAATTGGCAATTACCTATGAAAGATGTTTGATCTGTTAATCCAAGGCTAGTTTAAGAAGCATCCGCACAATGAAAGCTACATTTACATTGTGGATGATGAGAAGTGGGGGGGTGGATTCATGTCTAAGTGGAATGTGTACCAAGACCCTAGTAAGGGTGGGTGTGATAGTCAAGGGAGAGTGAGGATTATTAGTACAGAGGGAAGCATAATACTTATAAAATTTCTAGTCAGCTGTGAAAGCCATGTGATGATGCATGAGTATATAATCTAATTGTTACTGAGAGCAATGGACCCTTCAGAGACTAGCTCCCTAAAACCCAGCCTAACCCTTCCTATCTATTTCCTAGACAGGATAGGCATTCCCCTCTGTACCCTCCAAATATTAGTACTTCGTGCCAAGTTATAGAAAATGGATAATAAGAATGGCTGTGTGGGGGTATTGTTAACTTAGTGGTGCTATGTAGCGAAAGTTTTGTCATTTACTGGTAAACATGGGTTGCTGCAGCTTCAACCATGTTTTTTCTTACTCTTATTTTTTACACCGTAAAAGATGGTTTGCATTTATTTGTCTCTGCGCGTTCCCCTTAGTAAGAGATGGGGCACTAATGGTGTAGCGTACCCATGGCGCATATTGCAGTGTTCCAACCCTGTAGGAGTTGATTGAGGTATGTTTCATTATCACTACTACCAAGCCATACTATGGATAGAGAATAAATTGAAGGTAGGAAAGGTTAGGTTTTGACTTTTGGATTCACTTGTTACCTTGTTTCTAGGACTTCGTCTCTGGGGGGTGCATTGGTCTCGGTAACAAATGCCCAATACCAAGTTATTGTAAACATTTGCTTGTTTGGCTCTTGGCATGGCATTTTATGAGTTGAAGCTCCTCACTTGAGGAGCAAAATCCATTATTTTCGTCAATGCTGGAAAATTCTGTATGTTGCAGCTAAACGTGTTACTAGAACTTTTTCATTTTTATGAGGGCTTTACAGTCAATGACATGTGGCTGGTTTAACAGGAGGGAAACCATCCACTTTGGGTTATTGAAAAATGAGAGGAAATGCTGGCTTCAGAATTAAAAACAGGTTCAAAATATATATTTTTAAATTTACAATATATCCACTCTGTATTTTTGTCACCTGTGATGTATCGAATATCCTCTTTGAATTTAGAACTACAGAAGTTGTCAACTTTTTATACCCTTGTGATTATGTAGGCTGTTATCAAAGAATAAATATTGACTTTGAGAATTTTGAATTAAAATTCTTGCCACTGTTCATTGTACTTATAAATATCTTTTTCAGGTTGTTGATGTCCTGCATCCAGGCCGATCAACTGTCCCCAGGAGTGAGATCCGCTCTAAACTTGCAAGGGTAAGTTTTTTAGTTGATTTTCTTAATATATAGTAATTTCTCATGTTGAATTGATATTGAATTTAGGACAGTTTCCCTTCAGCATGATGAAAATCCATAGATTTCAGAAACCATTCCTGATCTGCAAAAATAAGCTAGCTCTTGGCCCCCCCCCCCCCCCCCCCCAAGTAAAGAAAGAAAAATAAAAGTTGATACTTAAATACAGGATACGGCATATATATACACCTCACACAATTATCATGTATATTTTAGTTGTAATTTTTTTTTTTTTTTTTTCTTAGGTGTGCTTTCAATTTTCATGCTGAGTGAATGCAGCAAACATTTTCAAGAAATATTAAATCTTTTTGATGGAAAATCTTAAGAATGCCTCTTTGATTAGGCTTGTGCTTTATTATATCATTTTAGCAGATCCCAAAGATCAAATTTCAACTTGTTTGATTGGAACAAAAATTGTTGCTATTTTTCACTTTTTTGGTACCTGTCCATGCTAGATACTTTAGGCACAAGATACATAGGATACAGCAAGTGCAATTAATTAGTTGGTAAATTTTGATATGTAATTACTCAAATATTGTAGTTTATCAAAACCAGAGGAAATGAATAAGTGTGTGTGTTCTCCCTTTCATGTAAATATTTATATGAAAGGAAACCAAGGAACTTGCTTGCTGCTGCTTACAGTAGCTTCAGAATATGGAATTATTTTTTTGTGACCTGAAAATGGCTTATAACAGGCCTAAACCCTTGCCCTTGTTTGGAAAGAGATGCTAGATCGGAGATTACCATTTTTCCCCTTTTGATAGCCTATTAAAGCTTAATTTTTGAAGCTAAGAAATATTGTTAAGCCCTGAAACGAGTTTGAAAAGCACAGAAATTTAAAACCTTGTTTAGAAAACTGGTAATTGTTTCACATATGCTAGATATTAGTGTGATTATTAAGGCTCTTGTGAAATTATATATGTGTATATATATATATATTTTTTTTTTTTTTCAGATGTACAAGACTACTGGTGATGTTGTCTTTCCATTTGGCTTCAAGACAGCCTTTGGTGGTGGCAAGAGCACAGGTTTTGCTCTTATTTATGACACACTAGACTATGCCAAGAAACTGGAGCCTAAGTACCGCCTGGAAAGGGTAAGTAGGCATGACTATACAACAGTGAATTAGATTGCTTGCTCATTTGAATTATTGAAATTGTTTACTTGAGTTGAGGATAAACATTTAAGCAACGTTTTTAAAACCTTACAGCAAGCTCTCATTGAGGTCAAGAAAACCGCTCGCAAGCAGAGGAAAGAGCGCAAGAACAGGATGAAGAAGGCTCGTGGTACAGCTAAGGCGAAATTGGCCTCTGCCACAAAGAAGGTAAAATAACCTGCATGAAATGATTTTTTAATGGTCTTGATACTGAAAAAATATCAATCTGTATTTTTAATATATATATATATATATATTGTTTATTCATTTAGATTCTTTTGCTAATAAATTTTTTTCTCTCCATTTACAGAAGGTAAAGTAGACATCATAACTGCAGATCCTAGTTGGCTGGGTGAAATATCCTAAAGGATGAAAATTTACTTAGGTTTTAGGAGGTTCATTTAACATTTATAGTATAAGGTATCAAATGGGTAAGTCTGTGACAGAATCCAGGGAAAACTTCATGAGCAGGTTTATTTTATACTTTTCAAAATAGGATATGCACTTTAGGTCTTTTAATATGCAAATTAGGTTATTGCAAGAGAATATTTATTTTGTGTTAAGAAGTTAGAATGCAAACAAGTAATTTAAGTAATGGCAGGTATTTACTCTTCATCTGCGTTTCTTTTCAGAAGTAAACAAGGTACATTCCGGAAAGACGGTTTGCATTTTGTGACATAAAATCCTTTCTTGTAGAGTAAAGCTTATCCTTTAAAGGCACATTGAAGAGAGAAGCTTAACTCGTATGGTCATAGGCTTTTAGTCACAAAATGTTGCTAGTAATTTTTGGTTGAATTTATTTCCTACTGTAATTGCTGTGTGTTTTATTAACTTGTTTATTGAAGAGTGGTAGGGAAAGTCAGTCTTAGACATGTAAGCATAACTAACCACAACTAATTTGGAAACAGTGTGTCTTGATAACAAACAAAAATTTAATAAGATTATGTGCCCTTGACCAAAATACAAGGAGTTTTTATATGCATGACAGGTGCATCTTTTTAGGAAAAGTATATGCAGCTGTTGGGTGATTTTTCAAGTGATATCCCTTTTTTGTGTGGTTTTTATACATTTTCTTGTAGGTATTATTAATTGCACTGATTAATCATGTATTGGATTTGAAGTCATCATATGGAATCGCGTACGAGTTTAGTTGCTTGACACTTGGCCATGTGAATAAAGTGATTTTTTTTTTTGTGCACTTACTTCAATGATGGTTGTTACCATTAATTCTATTTAAGGTATGGGCTGAAAATATTTATTTGTTCTTTCTCAAGGCCTTTACTTACTATTTTTCTTTTTTTCCCCAACAGTAACCGTGGAGCTTCAAGGAAAATAAAATTACAACTAAAATTGTATTTTCTTATCCCAGATTTGGAGTAGACCTGAATAAGCTTATAATTGAGTGTTTAACCAGACCATTTAGATTGACCACTGATAAAAAGTACTTATAATGAAATCGTTATTGATAAAAAGTACTTAGAACGAAATAGTTACTGATAAAAAGTACTTGGAACGAAATAGTTACTGATAAAAAGTACTTGGAACGAAATAGTTACTGATAAAAAGTACTTGGAACGAAATAGTTAGTGATTAAAAGTACTTGAAAGTTACTTATCTACATTTAAGGAAAAGTAACCAACTTTAACTTATGAGCAAAAACCCAAGTGAGTATTGCTGCAAAAAGCATTTGCCAAGGAATTTCAGATCTGCATATCTTGACAAAAGTGGTATTTAAAGGATAAGTCCGTAAAACTGGTAAAAGTGCATTAATCCCTGTAATTGTAGGAGGAGTACTTAAGTGATCCAAGACTGAGGGCCAATGTAGGAGATCGACCCTCTCTAGACCTCGTCCCTTGCATGGTCTTTTCTCCTCCCCTATCCCTTGCCCATTGTTGTCGTGGAGGGGTTTACGAGACGGAGACTGGGACCCAATGCTAGGGGTCTCCCCTACCTTAGGTCTCAACCCTCTACTCAACTACTTTTGCATCACCTCTACCCGCACAACCTTCAATCACCTCATCTTCCCTTATTACTACCTACCATCTCAGAGCATTGGAAGGTATTAAGCACCACCGATACAGCTGCTTCGAAATTACGAAAATCAACTTTTGCACATCATCGCAACAAGACTTTATGAAGGGGAAAAAGCGCATGAAAAGCCACTGAAACTTTAATAGTTGGATACTGTGCAAAATATAAACATGAGCATGTGCTATTCTAAAAATCCTTCATTCATTGAGTGCATGGAGGTATTAATAAAAGTAGATATATTTATTTCCTTCTAGCTGAGAAAAAATATAGGCCTTTGAAAAAAATATAGACTGCCACTGCGAGCAATTCGACTTGAGAATCATTCATGCATAAAAACATAATCGCCCACACTTCTCATCCACAGAGCTATTTTGATTATTGTTCAGTGAAAATATATCTATTGAAATAATCATTAACCATCCCTTTTTGAAAATTGAAAAGACCAAAATGATCGACCATATTCACAAAGCATCCGTAACATTTGTAACGTCATCAAAATAAACGCCATGACCAAGTTGCTACTGATCTAGCCTTCCTCACAGACTACATGCAAATGCGTTTTGACAAGTCTGTGGACAGTAATGAAACTAAAAAGATTGTTGCTGAATGGGATTACTAAATGCGCACAAAAATAAGCCTTCAAAGAAGACAATTGTGAAATCATGGTTTCTAAGCCAATCACGACTCGAACACTTTTAGCCATTCACAGGGTATCCAGTAATTCAGAGTCGGTTGTCGCGACCAGGGTCTATATAAGTACTTATATATACCTTGGTCGGATCTAAAAAATAAAGACTGTATCGAGCATCTATTGTTTACTCGGTGACGCCTGCCAAATTCAGCGGTCCCCATCTTACTTGGTCCCACAGAGCTGTGGGGTTGAGTGAAAAGGCCTGTTCAGTATAGAATGTCAGAACATAATTGAAGGGGTGTTGGAGGCTTCATAAGGTAGGTATTCAATACCTATGATATTAGATATATATTTTCTGATATAAAAATCAAAATTAGACTGATTTACATCAACCGCTGGGAATAGTGATTTTGCAGCATGATAGAATTAAACCGAGACAGGTTCTGACTTTGTTCTAAGACACATTTTGGCGTAGTGGTGCGGCCAAAATCCTCCGATAAACAAATTTTAGGCTTTTAGTTATTATATACATTGATTTCACAAGATATAGAAACCATTTTGGTAAGAATGTTCTGAGAAATGTTGGCAGAAATCTTTCTATTAGGAACACTAGACCCTCGGGGCAACCCCTACCCTTCCTATTTACATACAAAAATTCTGCCTAAATATCTTAGTGTTAGGCATTCATTCGTAGAAAATCGCATCATTTCAAGGCTTTTGAATATTTAAAGCTGTGATGGGACAGGCAGTGCCAGTAATCAACTGGCTACCATCTTTTGGAGTGGCAATACTATTCCATGGCCTAACTCTAAGACACTTGAAATGCTGGACTTCAAAGA